GGGGCTTTTGCTGCTCACGAGTTAGAACTGAAACTATATGAAAAGCCAAAAGGAGTGACTCCAAACAAGGGGTTGGCACTTCATGTTCCAGAATCATCTGAGGCTCCCAGCCAAGTGTCACTGGAGGAAGACATGGCGATGATTGTGAAAAAATTCAACCGGTTTTTTAAGAAAAAGCCAGGTATCACTGGCAAAGCAGAGTCGAGAAATTCTGGAAAATGTCTGGAATGCCAGAGAGCAGGTCATTGGAAGGCTGAATACTGTAGCACTGCCAAGAGGGAGGCAATGTTGAAAAATCTGAACGATCTTCAATGTTATGAGTGCAAAGGATATGGACACACGAAAAACGAATGTGCAATTGGAAAAACAAGAGGTAAATCTCTGATCACTCATGAAGAGATTGATACCGATTCTGATGAAGAAAGTGGAGAAAAGATGTCAAATTTTGTTGCATTCATTGAAATAATCGAAGAGACTGAAGAAGAGATATCCGAAGAAGATCTATACAAGGATATGTCAAGGCTGTACGACATCAATACAAGATTGATCAAAGAACAGAAGGAGAATGAGGCAAAGATTTTGGAAATCAAGAAGCAGCTGGATACGAAAGTATCAGAAGTTGATAATCTGAAGAAGCAACTAAAGGAGAAAGAGGAGAAGATTATCTTATTACAGAATCAGTTGGAAGCCACGATGAAGAATGTGAGAATGCTTGGAAATGGCACTGCAAAATTGGATCACTTATTGACAATCGGGCGAACAGATTCTGGACATACTGGACTTGGATATACCGGAGGGAGTAAAAACAAAGTAGGAAACTTTGTTTCAGGAGGAAAACTTGGAGATGAAGTGATCTCACAAGTACAACAGACTCCAAAGATCAAGATTGATCTATATCCAAGAAAAGACCGCAGAACTATCGTGAGCATCGCACTTGTTTCTACTGTGGAACAAGAGGTCACATCAGAATGAATTGCTACTACTGGCAAAATTATCAGGTACCACCCACTCTAAGATGGAGGCAAGTCTGGAGAAG